TGCTGGTAAACACTTGTTTCTGTTAAAATGACTGAAATATCCTTAAAGTTGTTAACACTATAAAGACGATGATTACTATAATATTATATTTTACATTAATCCATATACAAATAATTTATATCTTAGTTCACTTTCAATTAAATTGATTGTCTAATATAAATTATTTATTCAAGTAACATGCAATAATTAATTATTTGACCAAAATATATATTTTTTCCGCTCATAGCTTCAAATTTTAGGTTAAAATGTAAACTGGGTGAAAGATTTGATTTAGAATATAGTTTCGCAAATTTAAAAACGAAAAGAAAAAAGAAAAGAAAGAATTCAACAGCAAAGTTTTGTTTTAAAATATTATGGAACCAAAAAAGAAGCTAAAAGAACAATATTTATGTAACATTAATTTACAAAACTACTGTTGGCTTACGTTTAACTCTTCGAAGAAATTGACAAAAGTTTGAAAAATAGCAACAGAAAGCTTGAAAACGGTGATTAAATGACACGAGAATTAGTAAGGGAAGGGTAGTTTTGGGGTTTAGAAAAAATAAAAGGGATAATAGGGTAAATTACTTGGTCAAACATAAGGAGCTTGTAAGCCAAAAAGTAATAAACCAAACGGGTCGGGCCAAACACTTGCTTTACATTTAGTTGGGCAACCCCAACTTATTGCTTTTGGCTTGTTTTGAGTGTTTTAGCTTAAAAATATTTTGACTTAAAAGCACTTTTATGGTCTATCCAAACACTCAAATAAGCCCAGAAGTGCTTTTAAGGTGGTTTGACCAGCTTTTAAGCCAATCCAAACACCCTCTAAATATCTCCTTTTTGGTTGGTAGAGAAGCTGTTTGTCTCATGTATCCTAGGATTTATTACTATCCTCTAGATTGAGACATGACTGGAACTGTATTACATTGTTGAGAGACAGAAGAAATGTATAGTAAAATCTTTTGTGCTTTTGGTCCTTGTCTGAGACACTGAGTTGATCTTCTTTGAAATGCTTTGAGTTCTCCTATTGTCTACTGACCTCATTTTACTTTTGACTTTCCCTTGCTTGTGTTTTGTTCTTCTGTATCTGCGTGTGTTTTATTTTAGGGATGGAAATTGGGAAGGCTGAGGGTAAATGTTTTCTATTTGAGGTCAAAATCTTTATTTTTTGGATGTTTTCTGATATGCAGGTAGCCAAGGCATTGCAATATATCCATCAGAGAGGGGTAGCTCATTTAGATGTAAAGCCAGATAATATTTATGTGAAAAGTGGTGTGTATAAGCTTGGTGATTTTGGATGTGCAACTCTTCTTGATAAGAGCCAGCCGATCGAAGAGGGGGATGCACGTTATATGCCTCAAGAAATACTTAATGAGAACTATGATCATCTTGACAAAGTTGACGTATTCTCCTTGGGTGCTGCAATATATGAACTTATTAGAGGGTCTCCACTGCCAGAATCAGGGCTTCATTTTCTAAACCTCAGGGAGGGGAAATTGCCTCTTCTTCCGGGTCACTCCTTGCAATTTCAGAATCTGCTCAAGGTAATAAGTTGTTCCCTTTTACTATCTTAATAAATCTGTGGATAATATTTGCTTATATGCTTTCCTTTTCATATGACATGATCATCTTTCATATCCTGAGTATATTTCAAAATAATTAGGCACAATTAGTTAGATGATTTTTTTGTTGTTGTCCGTGACTAAGTACCATAAAGCTAATCCATAATAATCTGTAGAAGCAAATGCTGATTCTCTACCGTTCAAATTGTGAATGCTCCCAGGTAATGATGGACCCAGATCCAACACGCCGTCCTTCTGCAAAAGACCTTGTGGATAATCCAATCTTTGAAAGATGTCAAAGAAATGCTAACAAGTAAATAGCCATGTAAATCACCTTTTTCTCGGATTTGTTGAGAGCTATTTTTGCCAAGAGCCAGAATTCAAAGCTGCAGTTACTCGTGCAGCATCTCTGGTGTTGACCACTTCTGAAAACCATATATAGCTCATATTAAATGGAGATAAGGAGGAGGAAAAAAACCATTCTTCCAAACGAGCTATATTCTCATGCACCAAATTTTCTCATTTTGATGGTGCTACTTTTGCCAAATATCGTACTATGCATCCAGAGAAAATGTTGTATCCTAATTGGACCAAAAACTGTGCGTTGTATGTCATAATGAAATTTGGCGTCATTTAAGCTGATTTGTTCAGTATCAATTTGCTTGTCTCGTTGATCAGATAAAGATGACATATGGCAGCCATAAAAGTTTGTGTGCCATTGGAGCTCCAGTTTGTATCTAAGAAAAAGCTACAGGCATTTTTTCCTTCTATCGAAAGAGAAACAAAGAAATAAAGCGAGGGAATAAAACCCCCAACACGAAGAACGCTTTTGAAAGCATTTGAAAGTTAATAGTGTCAACTTGAAAATTCCAAGGTGGTGTTGATTTTAAGAACTACCACGAAGTAAGTTAGAAAAACATAAATATAGAGAAAGATACAACAAAATCTAGATGATTAATTTAGATTTCGCTCCTTATACTTGCTTGTTGATTGCCGGAGAAACTATTGTTTTTTTTCTTTTCCTTTTTTTTGGCTTTAACAATTTTGTGTATTGGTGCCGTTCCAACAAAGTTCTGTTTGATTTAACGAAAAACTATAAAGCAGCCACCATTAAAATAGCCAAATAGGATTTCAAAGTTCAATGTACAGCAAAAACAATACGCTGGTTTTTGTGTTGTCTTATTTTGGCTTAGGCCTCGAAATCACACTCCAGTGGTCTAACCCTCATTTTGGCTTTGGCCTCGAAATCACACTCCAGTGGTCTAACCTAATTACTGCGCTTCTTTCAGTTGGAACTAGAAGAATACTCCAACGTTCTCTTTTAGTTGTCCAATATACTAAAAATATATTATTTCACTTTTATCAATTTTAGCAAATCAAGAGAAGACTATGTCTTTTTTTTTTCTTGCTTTACCTTTATCATTAATTACTCATTCACAAATCATTTCCCAAGATTTCTCAAAATATTATCAGTATTATGGGTATGGTAAAATATACACTTCATCTATAATTTCTTAAGGGGCGTGCAAAGTTCATTGTGGACAAGTAAAAGTGAATGGATGAAATATTTTTCTTATTTGTCACAGAATTAATGGGTAGTTGTTGTCATTTAGGACGTTTAAATTTCAATATTTGGACACTTTCAATTAGCTTGCTTCACTACGACAATAGAAAAACTTCACATTCAAAATGTGTTTTATTAGTGGAAGGTGCTGGAGGATAATGCTCCAGCAACACAAGAAAGCCTCATGAATAATCGAACGTTAATGTAGAAGATGGCAAAGTGACAATAGAGTAACAAGATGTAAGAAAATAACATCCAAATTTTAGGGTAAAACATTTATATATGATAAAGCTGAGTGTGCGGTAAAAACTTACCCGTACAAGAGACTTACCGTCACTGTAATGCGGAAGACGCATCCTAAATTGGATTTGCGAATAATGTAAAAATGGCCTTAATCTGGTTTTAGTTCGTTCTAGGACAATGTAAATATATACATTTTTCGGCTATTATTTTGAGAGCTGCTATACAATGTCATTTCCCAATCATAATCATTTGATAAAGCTATTAGCTTATTCCAATTATTTTCCGTACATATTTTTACTCTTTCCACTATCATGAGCAAAAGTACCTAATAATTTGTATGAAATGAAATCTTGAAAATACTTTTCACATATTATCAAACACAGACCAAATGAAAATATCAAACCAATTAGTATAAAATACATGGTAGATATGCAATCTAAACTAAAAACGACTGAATTAGAATGGAAGTAACCGGAACCGAATGTCTTGTCATGTTTCCTGTCGAAGCACAAGAATTTTCAGATTATCCCAATGCACGAGTTAAAATGCTTAAAATATACTGTAGTCTAACCATCCATAACAAGTGATTTTTTAGTTTTTTCAAATTTGATTTAAAATATTTGACTTCTAAAAAATCATGGTATTATTTTCTTTTCAATTTTATGTTTGTATAATAAATGATCTGAACAACTTTCTAAAACATTTTTCAATACCTAATTAATGTGGTGAAGAGATAAAAGAAACTAAATTCAACCGAGTAAATGCTCACTCACACTTAGTTTTTAATTACATTAAGTCAATCAATTTAACCTTAATTAGATGTTTAAATGAAAGTGAGAGTACATGTTGTTGGGAATAAACCTCGTACATAAATAATTTTCACAGTAATAAAAGCGGAATAATAACGTCGTACTGAGATACGGTAATTAACAAGAATAAAAGAGTGAATACGACACCAAGATTTTTACGTGGAAAACCCTTTTGAATAAGGGAAAAATCACGGCCCCTAGACGAGCAACTGATATCACTATAGTAAGGAATTTTACATTTTGTAGGTCCGAGTAAAATACTCCAAAGACTACTACAACACTCAAAAGAAATAATCCTCTTTTGATATTCCACCTTACTACAATATCGCTTACTCTCTATTTTTCTCACAGACTATTTTCTTATACCCTGTCTGTGAAACTTCACTCTTTCTTTCTCTCTTTGTTGGTGTATTTTACAATGAGAGCGAGATACTTATTTATAGTGTTTAGGATTGCTTGTCATCAATGATCTCATGAGTTTGGAAAGAGTCAAATATTCAATGTGAAACCAAAAAAATATTTGTCATAAAATCTTACTTACAATTCCTTTAGTTGGCTTGACATTTCAAAGCTAAAAGGAAGATGACATCCGGATGGACCCATCATATGTCACTTAACCATGCATAGTTGAGTAATAATGTATGTATATATAAAAATAAACAGTCTTACATTTGTTGATTTGGCGAAAACACTAACGGCACGTTTTCACCGTCAATCAGTTGCATTTAAGCTTAGGCGTTAAAGCCAATTCGGTATCACTCTTTTAGGTCTATAAATAGCTAGTTCATACCTCTTTGAAGGGACCAAAAGAAAACCAGTCTTTCATAGATTTAAAAAAAAAAAATGACGAGCAGCAGTGATCATGATATAATATTGGCAGAGAGCAGCAATGTAGAAACAAGCCAAGATGATGTTCCTTTGCAGCGTCAGCTCACAGGAAATGAACTTTCTTGTCATAACTTAAAACGATATGACTCATTAGATTTGGAATCCAGCCGTGTACCCCACGCAAAAAAGGTCTGCTACCTCTAACCTCCTTAATTAATTTTGGTTCAATTGTTACGGTCATAGTCTTGTTTAAAACAAGGATATGGAATTAAAAGTTCATATATATAGATGTGAAGAAAAATGAATTTCATCAAAATTAGTAGCTTGGTTCAAACTCTCTATATGTTTTAAGAAATCTATCGTACGAATTGTTAATTTAAAGCCCGATAATTTAAAATGACTAAAATCTTAAATTCATAAGTTTCAAATCTTAGCTCCGTCTTTATGTCTAAGTTAGGAGTAATGTTTTTTTGTGGTTAAACAGGCAGCAAAATGGTCAGTGATATTGCAACTGGCGTTTCAGAGCATAGGGGTGGTGTATGGTGATATTGGAACGTCGCCGTTGTATGTTTACTCAAGCACATTTCTTAATGGGATTAAACACGAAGATGATATACTTGGCGTACTTTCTCTCATATTTTACACTATCACCTTCATTCCTCTCATGAAGTATGTTTTCATTGTTCTCAGAGCTAATGACAATGGAGATGGTAATTTTTCATCTCTTTTTCCAGCTTTTCATATTCCTCTCCTTCAATTCGTCCATCATTTAAACATCAACTTAATTACTCATACATACTCCATTTATGCTCTCCTGCAAGATACTTTATGACTTATATATGAGTTTGAGTTATATTCACAGGTTACTGTTACCTCTTTTAGCAAGTAACTTGCCTTATTTTAAGATTATAAATTTCAACTTTTTATGAGGCTTACCCTAATTGGCATGATAGTATAGAATTCTTTTTTAAAATAATGGTGTATACAACTTAAACTCATAAGTTTATTAATGTGTGTTTGTCTTATGCAAGAGGTCATAACCTACCAATAAGTCATAGTTTTTTGGTAGGTTATGATAAACCTATACTTACCATTAAAATTACCTGTAATTGATTTTTGACTAACTGATAATTTAAAGTTTTTTATATTGTTACATACAGAAATTAAATTATTACATTTGTTCGAGTGATGGGATAGAGATATGAGTTTGTTGGAAACACAGCCGAAATTGTATCATCAAGGTTGTATAGTGCCAATAGCAAAAGGAGGAGACGGTATCTTGAATTCTTAGGAGTAGAAAACGAAGCAAACTGGAGTTAGTAATAGCTTTCATCTGAATTTTGTCACTTTATGCTTTGATACGTTTTATGCCAATATATAATACTAGTAAAAATTCTTGTCTATACTAACATATAATAATACGTTTTTTTTTTGTTATCTCCGTTCCTCAAAGATTTACATTTCTACTTTATGAGGAGTTGAAAGGACCTTCTTAATAAATATTTTTTAAAAATATTGAAACTACGAAAAATTATGATTTATAGTATTCTTTATTTAGCTTTTAAATATGTAATTTCTTTTTGAAAAATATAAAGAGACCATTAGAGTTACAATAAAATTAGACGTGTTCATGACCTCACACATCCTATTTTGTCATTCTTTTCGATACAAGATCAAACGTCTTTTTATTTGTGAGTAGGGCGCTTAATAACTGTGTTTATAGTATGCCAAATATGATATAACATGAAAGATAAATTAAAATAATATGATATAACTGGTTAAATTATGCTGGAATGTAAAATTTCTTTCAAACACTAATTTGTGAGTAGAAATTAGAAGCTAGTCAGAGTGAATTAACGCATGATCATTTGGAAAATATTCGACAGGAGGAACATTTGCGATATATTCTTTGATATGCCGATATGCTAAGGTGGGATTAGTTCCAAGTCAAGAGGCAGAAGACAGAAATGTGTCGACTTTCAAACTTGAGTTGCCAGATAATCGCACAAGTCGAGCTTCAAAACTGAAATTGATGCTTGAAAACAGTACATTTGCAAAGTTCTTTATGCTCTTTGCCACAATGCTTGGTACTTCTATGGTTATTGGGGATGGTGTCCTCACTCCCTGCATCTCAGGCACGTCACGATTTTCCCTCTTTTACTTTAGATGGTAATTTATATTTCTTGAAGTTTGTACGGTAAATTTCACAGATGATCATATAATTATGACTTTTTTTTACCAAAGTCATATAACTTTATTTTCTCACATAAAAATCATATAACTATGATTTTTTTTTTAGCAAAGTCATATAACTTTGTTTTCTCACCCAAAAATCATAAAACTTTCACTAACTCACACAAAAATTATAGTGGTCAGAAAATAAATTTTCCGGTAGTATTTTCTTATTTTACGTTTTTTATTTTTTTATTTTCAGTCTAATAAATAATTACCCAATTAAAATAGAAGAAATATGAGTATATTTTTAGCCGCTTCTAAAAATAATAGCTGATAAAATATTTTATATATATATATATATGTGTGTGTGTGTGTGTGTGTGTGTGTGTGTGTGTGTGTGTGTGTGTGTGTGTGTGTGTGTGTTATATACATATAACATACACATTCTATAAATATTTTGGCAAGCAAATGCAATTAGTTTCAGCCGACCGGTTATTTTTATATTTTTATCTTAAAGTAGGAATGACCCAACCCAACCTGACCCAATACCCATATACGTCAGTTAAATAATACGAAAAGTATATTCTTCCCCCATAAAAAATTTAGTTCAGAATGCATGAAATTCTGACAAAAAAATAAAGAAACAAAAGGTATAATTATAGAGCACTTGAAATAAAAATGCTATCAATTTGAATAAAAATCTTGAAAAGAAAAATTAAAGATAGAAGTATTGTTATGAATAGAATTGTATTTAGAGTGAATGTCTATCTTTTATGGAGTTTGTTACTTTGTGGCTAAGTCATTTTTCCCATATAAATAAAGGGTCTTACCCCATTATAATTCATCCCAAAATTAATAAGAATTTAAAGATTCTTTTAAATAATGAACTTTCTTGCACTTCTTGTTATCAAGGCAAGTTATTTATTAGATCATCACCAACAAAGGTTGGGATTGAGTCCCCTGCGTTTTTGGAACGTATACAAGAGGGTACTTGTGGACATATTCACCCACCTAGTGGGTCGCTTAGATATTTTATGGTCTTAATAGATGTATCTTCTAGATGGTCTCATGTGTGCCTATTATCATCTCGCAACCTCGCATTTGCAAAACTAATTCGATTGCGAGCATAATTTTTCAATAATCCAATTAAGTCTATTCGACTTGATAATGCTGCGAAGTTTTCATCCTAATCATTTAATAATTATTGCTTATCAATTGGGATAAAAGTGAAACATCTTGTAGCTCACGTTCACACTCAAAATGGCTTTGTAGAGTCTTTAATTAAACGTCTGCAATTGATAGCAAGGCCATTACTCATGAAAATGAGGTTGCCCACTTCTATTTGGGGTCACGCCATTTTTCATGCAGCAATGCTAGTTCGTCTTAGACCGACAAATTATCATAAATATTCCCCGTACAATTAATTTTGGGTCATGAACCTAATATATCCCATTTAAAATTTTTTGGATGCGCAATATATGTACCTGTACCACAACCATATCGCACCAAGATGGGTCCCCAAAGAAGGTTAGGAATATACGTTGGGTTTGAATCACCCTCCATTATTCGCTACCTCGAAATATTAACGGGAGATTTATTCACTGCTCGATTTACAGATTGTCTATTCGATGAGACATTCTCCCCAAAATTAGGGGGAGAAAATGGTGAAACCAAACGAGAAATTTTGTGAAAAAATTCATCATTATCTCATCTTGATCCATGTACCTCTATTTGTGAAAAAGAGGTGCAAAAGATTATTCATTTGCTGAAAATAGCAAATCAAATACCAGACATATTTACAGATCTGAAAAGGATAACAAAATCATATATCCCTGCAGAGAATGTACCAATCTGTATTGATGTCCTTGTTGAAAAATCTTCTAGTGTCATAGCTAATGAATCAAAAGTACGCCTAAAGCGTGGCAGACCATTGGGTTCTAAGGATCGAAATCCAAAAAAAATAAAATAAATAATGAAGATGACACTACGAAAGAATCTCATAAAGAAACCCATAACCAACCTTGAGATTCATGAGGAAATCATTGAGCCTCAGACTCAAGAAAATAAGGAACTATCAATAAATCCAATCGATATCGAGACAAATTTGAATCAATTGGATATAGTGGTGGATTATGTCTTTGCATATAATATTGCATCTAGCATTATGCAAGATAGTGAGGATCTTGAACCTCAATCTGTTGGAGAATGTCGACAAAGACGTGATTGGTCAAAATGGCAAGAAGCAATCAAATGAGAGTTGAATTCACTTTCCAAACGTGAAGTTTTTGGGCAGGTAGTCCAAACACTTAATGGTGTTAAGCCTGTTGGCTATAAAAGAGTCTTTGTACGTAAAATAAATGAGAAAAATGAGGTACAAAGATATAAGGCTCTACTTGTTGTACAAGGATTTTCACAAAGGCTTGGTGTCGATTATGAAAAGACGTATTCTCCTATTATGGATGCTATAACATTCTGTTATCTCATTAGTTTTCATGAAAAGCTTGACATGCTTTTAATGGATGTAGTTACCGCCTACCTTTATGGCTCACTTGATAATGAGATATACATGAAAATTCCCGAGGGATTTAAAATGCCTGACGCACATAATTCAAAGTCCCGGAAAATGCTTTCAATGAAATTGCAAAGATCTTTGTATAGTCTAAAGCAATCAGGATGAATGTATTATAACCATCTTAGTGAGTATTTATTAAACGAAGGTTATATAAATGATACCATTTGTCCATATATTTTTATAAGGAAAACAACATCGGAATTTGTTGTACTTGCCGTATATGTCGATGACATAAACCTTATTGGAACTCCTATAGAACTCCAAAAGGCAATTGATTGTTTAAAGAAGGAATTCGAGATGAAAGATCTCGAAAAGACATAATTATATCTCGGTTTGTAAATTGAACATTTGGCAAATGAGATTTTTGTTTATCAATTTGCCTACGCAGAAAAGGTATTGAAACGGTTTTACATGGATAGAGCACATCCATTAAGTACTTCGATGGTTGTTCGATCATTTGATGTGAATACGGATCCGTTATGACCTCAAGAAAAGAATGAAGAGCTAATTGGTCCTGAAGTACCATATCTTAGTGCAATTGGTGCACTAATGTATCTTGCTAATACAATAAGGCCTGACATAACTTTTTCAGTTAATGTTTTATCAAGATATAGCTCTGCTCCTACAAGGAGACATTAGAGTGGAATCAAACACATATTTCAGTATCTAAAAGGGACTACTGATATGGGCTTATTTTATGGCAATAATTGCAGTCCCGATCTTGTTGGTTATGCCGACACTGGGAATTTATCTGAACCACACAAGGCTCGATCTCAAATAGACTATGTGTTTATATGTGGAGGCACTGCCATATCTTGGCGATAGACTAAACAATCAATCATGGCTACTTTATCTAATCATGCTGAGATAATTACTATTCATGAAGCAAGTCGAGAATGTGTGTGGTTGAGGTCTATAATACATCTTATTCGAGACAAATATGGTTTGAAGTGTGACAAACCACCCACGATTTTGTATGAAGACAATGCAGCATGCATAACCCAATTGAAGAGAGGATTCATAAAAGGAGATAGGACAAAGTACATTTCACCAAAGTTACTTTTCATACATGACCTTCAAAAAAATGGTGATATCAATATGCAACAGATTCGTTTAAGTGATAATATAGCTGATTTATTCACCAAATCTCTACCGACGTCAACCTTCAAGAAGCTGGTGTACAAGATTGGGATGCAAAGGCTCAAGGATGTGAATTAATGCTCTCATCAGGGGGAGTTAATACGCGTTAAACTCTTTTTCCCTTATAAGGTTTTTTTCCACTGAATTTTCCCTGTAAGGTTTTTAACGAAGCAATCAAAAGGCATATTATTAAACATGTGTTCTCTTTTTTTTTTTACTAGAATTTTTTTTCACTGAGTTTTATTTTAGTTAAGGTTTTAACGAGGCATATTATTTATTGAATAGACATTCAAGGGAGAGTGTTATGAATAGAATTGTAGTTAGAGTGAATGTCTATCTTTTAGAGAGTTTGTTACTTTATGGCTAAGTCATTTTTCCCTATAAATAGAGGGTCTTACCCCATTGTAATTCATCCCAAAATTAATAAGAATTTAAAGATTCTTTAAATAATAAATTTTCTTGCACTTCTTGTTATCAAGGCAAGTTAATTATTAGACCATCACCAACAAAGATTGGGATTGTGTCACGACCCAAAATCCTAACTTGTCTTGATGGCGCCTATCTCGATACTAGGCAAGCCGACAACCTCAATAAACCACAATTTCTTTTAAGTTTGAAAATATAATATTTAAACACAATCCACAAATCTCGCAAATACCGATACAAACACTCCCAAAACCTCGTGTCACTAAGTACATGAGCATATAATATGAATACAAAGTCTAACTGATAAAATTACTGTCTGAAAATATAGAATAGTACAATAATTAAACAGGAAAGGAATCAAGTCTACGAACGTCAAGCAGCTACTTTGATAGTCCCCAACAGAATTAACTTCGAAATCTAGCAGCCACTGTATTTGGGAGCACCCGGATCTGCACACGAGGTGCAGAGTTTAGTATGAGTACAACTAACTCAATAAGTAACATAACTAACCTCTAGGCTGAAAGCAATGACGAGCTCTGCAGGTACAGTCCAATATAAATAATGGTACAAAAATGTAGGCATGCTTTCAAGTTTAACATTTAAACTCAGTACAAGTGAAATAGATTAATACTGCATGATATGAGGTATATGACGTCTCAGTAGAAAGACCTCATGTAAATACTGGTCACAAATTATTTTGTCACTCGGTACGTTTTATGGCCAATCCAGCCCAGGGGTGTTCCAACTCGTATATAAATACACATCGACTGATAGTCAGTCACTCAGTACCGTATAAGGCCAATCCAACCCTGGGGTAATTTA